ATTGTTACTTAACACATCCCCCCCAAGATGTCTGAAAGGAATTCCCCCGATTCCAGCGAGACAATGACCAACACAAAGTGGGGGGGTTCTCTCCGTCTCATACCTTGCTGCATATGCCCTGCCATGCGAATAATGAGATCAGCAACACAAGCAATGATCATATGAAGGCAACCACTGTCAGATCAAAAACTATAGAAAAGAAGACTAGTAGGCCAGTTAAAGAACATTCAGGATTCTGTATCACTGTTTCTAACGAATGTGCATGTACCCTCAGCTAGCCAATCTCATGTATGCAAAACTAATTCCTAATATTTATAACTGCTGAAGGGAATCAAAGAAACCTTTTGGTTTTAATTAATGTGTACTAGCTTCTTCCTTTTACCCACGAGGAGCATATCAGACTGCCATATCTATACAGCATAATTTGCACCTGTGCCGAGCTTTTATTTTTCTACACCAATGTTTGATTGGCTAAGCTGATGTCCTAACCTTACAATACTCTTGAGCATGGGAAAAGGGAGTGTTTTGAAGCTTCAAAACCTGTCTCCATTGCTGTGCACAATGCTTCCCATGGGCCAAGCTCAACAGTGCAAAAGGCACACAGTGTGGGTGCGGCTCTTACACCGATAAACACATTTGGCAAGTGAATGACACCCTGGTACCTAATGGGCCTTGGTCCAAAGTTATGCCTACAAGCTGACAAGTCAGACAAATGGCCTACAAATACGTATCATTGGATATTTAGCCCTCAAAGAGATAGTGGTGAGAAATCCCCCATAACAACTTTTTCTCCAATACATGTCGCAATACATTTTTTTCCTCTGGCTGAGTCTTCAGTAATGTCATATGGTCATTATGACACTAGTTTCACACAGTTCTCACAACCAACTGCCTATATTTCTGGGGCTGGTCAGCCAAAATTATACATTCCCACGGGGGGACTTGGGGGCATGTGCCCCCACAAATTACTGGTGTCCCCTCCAGGTCCCCCCCCCCCACTGAAAAAAAAACACGGATGAATGGATCCTGAACAAGGCTAGCAAAATCTTGCCCTAAAAAAAAACACACCAGTGAAAGCTGGTGATCCCCATGAGATGCTGGTTCCCCCTTGTGTCAAGTGAGCCAGCATGCGTAAGGCAGTGAAATTCAAATGACTGCAACGAAAACATAGTTTTGACCGGACTGACATATCACAGATGTACTCATGTGGAATGTCTGTATAAGCCTGTCAAGTTTCAATTAGATTGAGTTTGAAGCAACAGATTTTTAGAAGGGGCCCTGAATCCCAGCTCCGCCCCAAAAACACTTTATGCGATGGTCCCACAACACACATAGCACAGCTCCATTTAGGATTAAATAGCAGAGCCCTGCACTGCAAGTCATTCAGAGAACAACCCTAACAGACCCTTTCAAGTTAAATTTTGCCTGTGTTCAGACAAGTAATTCAGTTCTTGTCTTACATTCCATCCAATGAGAAAAGAATTCTCGTCAACATACCCATATAAACATTATTTACTTTATAGTAAAATACATTATCATTTGCACAGACGACAAAAGTAAGAACTAAAATCAGGCCCCAATTAGGGATACCCAAGACAAAATCAAACTTCTGGTTTAAAAGCTACTTTAAAACATGTACACCAATATTTAAAGGGGAAAAGTTTTAAAAAATGGCAGGTACTCTGTACAAGTGAATACTTACAGCTGTGCTGACAAAAGTCTCCAAAGTAGCCTATAGTACAGTTACACACTGAGTTTTGGCAGACTCCGCCATTCAAACACTGTGGAATGCAGCCATCTGCTATATAAAACATCGAACAAATAAACAAAAAATACTTATGCTGTATAATACACTAAACACTGAAGTTTTAATTTCATAATTAATAACAAGAAAATTTAAAATTTTTCATGTTCAATTTTAAAGTCTTCATTTTTTAAGTAAAAGACTTAATTCAACAGTTTAGGTGTTACTCTTAACTCGACCTGATTCCTTGCAACTTGAATTAGCACTGAATTCACAGTTTAAATACCAGATTTAACTTTTTAATAAATGTGATAATTAACAAGGTCTTATTATGTTTTATTAATCATGTGGCTAAACCTGTAATTCACATGTAGGTTTGTAATTTTTAAGTATAATTTTAATTGTAGTTTTTATATAACTGTTATTGTGTAATCATATTATTTTTGCAATTCTGATATGTAAGGCGCTATTAAATATTTTTAATAGAAATGGCACTGAAGAAATGAAATAAATGATACATGTTAAATGTCGAATTAAACATTAAGATGCCGGATTCAACACTTTCAAAGCGAAGTTTCTGAGACCACACACATGGTGGAGTGGAATACACTGCTGCAGTTTCTAATGTGTACCAACATAGCAACTTGAATAACTCCAAGATATCTGCAGAACACAGCATCAGTTTCATCGCTGAAGTGCAATTAATTACCATGCAAAGTCCCTTTTCTATCTTAGCCCAACATCAATGAAATATGTCTGTTTCAATTTAATATAAAAGCCTTTTCTCAACTGATAAAAACTTTCATTTCTTCTTCTCTCATGTTTCTTGACACATAAGTAATGCATTTACACATAGGTTCCTGCAGGTTGAATCAGTTCCACTGATTAATTTGACACTAAAGCCAGCTGCCACAGTGATTCAGCTTGAAAATTTCTCATATTCCATTCTAAAGCATGTGGGTATATCCTAAACTTCCCAGGACAAATAAAAGTGAAAGACATTTCACTTTTTAAACACTGCAGTATGCTACTGGACACCACCACAGAAGTGAAACCATGAGAAATTGTGATCTTTGGAAGGAAGATTCCATCACACCAATTTCCTGGCTTGAGGTAATATTCATAACAAGTGACTTATTTGTCTTTGGAGGTCATGTGGTAATTCACAAGTGATAAAGTCAGTGATCTAGTTGAGAGTGTTGCTAGGCAGTGTACAAAATGGGAAATTCTACCTTAGACTATGAAGGGTGGAGTCAGGAAGAGATCCAGGCCCAACGAGACCTTTATCACTATGAGAAGCTTGACGCAGCCATCTGGGCTGACGTCAAGATGTATGCGGCACCACTTGGCCTCCTAATGAATGGAATCTTCCTGTTTGTGGCCATCCGCGTGAAGTCAATGCACACCACTGTCAACATCTACCTTGGAAATTTGGCTGCGGCCGACAGTTTGGTCCTTACGTTGGGTCTTGCACTGCTGGTACGTGAAGATCTCAATCTGTCTGTTATGAAAGCAACCAATTTCATCTGCCTCATTGCATCCTACTGTTTCATCACTGCTTTGGCATTTGAGAGATACTTTGCTGTCTGCAAACCCCTGTATTTCCGTGCAACTTCCAGCAAGGCTCGCACCGTGAAGGTGTCCGTGGCGTTGTGGATGATAGCTGCAGCTGGAGGAACAGCCTGGTATTTCAGCCCGAAATTTGCAAATGCGACGCAAACCAGTGCTAACGTCAACAACCTTCTCCTGGTTGTGTTGTATTTGACTTTACTGTCCATAAATGCCACATTGTACACCTCCATCATAAAGAAACTCCGTCGACAACAACGTCTTATTTCAAGCACAGCCAGGCAAAGAGCAGGTCGAGTTGCTCTAATGCTCTTGTTTAACACTGCCGTGTTCTTCTCTTTCAATGCAACCTCCATAGCCGAGGGTATCTATATAGTGGTCATCAATTTCTCTAACATGCCAAAGATGCAGATCATAAAGGCATTGGAATCGTGGACGGATGTGCATCTTGCAGCATCCATACTGCAACTGATCAACAGCTCCATTAACCCCCTGGTTTATAGCTGGACTAACAAAAGTTACAGGGCAGCTTTCGTAAAGGCTTTCCCATGTTTCAACCTTCTGAGCAAATGCTACAGAGGTAGTAGGGATGCAACACGGGGGAAGATTTGGCAAATTGAGCTCCACGCTCTCTCCCAAAGAGGCTATCGAATAGGCGGCAGCCAGGGGAACTGAAGCAGCAACTGCGTGTTCCTCAGAAAGAGTTGACCAACACTGGTGGGTCGCAGGAACCAAAACAGCAGATTAGAATGCCTGAACTACCCAGCAATGCAAGTCAGCAGGATCCAGTAAGGCAGGTTGGTATCAAAGTTTCTTCTCAAGAACAAAGTACTACTAGTGACAGCTCACAGATATCAATGGAGCAACAGCAAGATCTCCATCGAGAAGCAATCAACCATGACAGCTTGCAAAGAACCATCACAGGTAATTGTGGAGCTGCTAGTGCTCTGCCATGAACTAGCCAGCAGTGACATTCACCAGGACCCAATGCCAGGACATAAGGTCTTCCTTAACAACCAACCCATACCGCAGTTGAGCCGCAAAATCAAATGCAGTAATTACAACTCCCATCAAAGCAAACCAGCCACTGGTGTAGCAGAGTGAAAAGCAAGTCTGCACAGAACAGGTCACAACCAAGACTGCACAGCATAAATCACAATGCATGAATGCACAAGTACTTCTTGAAGAACAAACTATCAACGGCATACACCAACACAGCAGATCAATACCATCCAGCAATGCTGCAATGAATGATGAACACCTTGACCAAGGCTAGTAAAGACTGTACAAATGACGATGCCCGAACAACATTTACCTTAAAATTCTGAGACAGACAATATTTACTTTAAAATTCTGAGACAGAGAGTGGACATACATGGGCAAAAAGTGTTTCAGGAATTCTGAAACAATATTTCAAGAGAGCTTTAAGAAGTGCAGAACAGTTCCTTTTATTATATTAAAATGGGGGTGAAAGGGGAAATCCAGTGCAATTGAAACTACAAAAAGGAAATTAAAAGTGTATGGAAGTCAATGATTTCAATTAATCATAATACAATTGATACAACATTGACATTAAAGATAGGTTTTCCAAAGAAATACATTCATCAATGAACGGTACTAATAGACACACAATAGGCATGAGTGGTGACTACTGTGAAGAGTTACAGGAAATGATTTTAAGTTTCACTTTAGTTTCACTTTCATGTAAATCTTCTATTAAAAAGAGAAAATAGTGGAACATATTTTATAAAACAAGACCACTTCCTTTTCACAGTTCCAAGCATATACCTCCAAATATGCCAACCTATGTATACGGAAACTCTGCATTGTAAACTTTGTAAACAGCAAATTTAATGGATATAAACTAAAATAATTAGAGGCCTATATCACATTTTATATCTTGGTCTGTTCTCATCTATTAATCAAAGAGTAATCAAATAATGAAAAGATGTGTAATTCTTGGAAAAAAGGAAAGTTGAAGTAACATGACTGGTTGAAAATTAGGTTTAAGTAGATCAGACTGTAAAGTCTGCCCAATTGCGTTGGAGACAAAATATGACTGGTGGGATTTAGCATTCTTATGAAACTTGATGAATTTGTTAAACTGATGTTTAGAGAATTGATTCAATCCATTTCAAAAAGTACTTACTCTGGGTTGTCTGATTGCATGTGGGCCCTGTGAAGCCTGGCGTGCACTGACATTGACCCTCCAGGCAATGGCCCCCATTGAGGCACTGAACATCCTCACACCCTCCAACTGCATAGTAAAAGTGAAACCATATCACATTTTAAACTCAGCGAACTGGCACCATCCCTTGTATGTTACTGCTTTGGGTCGTTGAATGTCTGTTCCCCACAGCTTATTAAAGACAGCCAATGCATCTGTATTTCACGGAGACTGAAATTTGCATGACGCTTGTTTTCTCAAAAGAATATGATAGGTGTAGCAAACACTCCCTGGAATTTGAGGTGATTCAAAAATACAATCCCCAGTTCAGCTTTGCAGGCTCTGTCTTTCTGTGTCTACCACAAGTACTGAAACAACTACAAAGCGATCTGAACCAAGGGTAGCCAAAATTGTAATTGATACAAAATTGTAAAAAAGTCTCACGCATGAAACCGTTAGTGCCAATAACACATCAAATATGTGTCATCATTATATTCTATGTAAAAAATAGCAGCAGCTGGTTCGGAAACTTCAACCACTTGACATACTGAATAGATCTTATTCAAAAGGAAGCCATTTTAATCATGTTCCCTGAACTTAACTATTCAGTGTAATATATCACACAGGGTGCCAGGCTATTTTTGGTTGCATGCATCATTTCTTTTTGGGGGAGCATAAAACATTTAGACATTATATATCACAATTTTTCAATTATTCATTATCTTAAATGAACTTAACCTGCAATGAATTTTTTTCACTGTTCTCATTTTGCTTCTTAAGGTCTTAAAATGAAAAAAAAATAACCTAACTTTGGATTCAACATGGCTGATTTGTGAATTCTGTCAATTGAACACTTACAGTTGATCTCACAGTAGGCTCCAATGAAGCCGTACAGACACTGGCAGATACCGTTCACGCAGACACCACCATTCTGACAAGACCGGATGCACACTAGAGCATCAAATACATGAACAGACATAGTTTTTTATCACAGTGAGAAAACAAGATCCCCCCTACAAAACACTGAAAAAGTATTAAATTAGCACTAATAATTTATCCAATTTTTTTGGCACTCTTTCCAGGGCCTGCCCGCTCAAGAGTGCATTACACCCTATTTAAAGATGCAGTTACACTACATGCACCCCCGCACTAAATGGTGAAAACAAAAAATAGGAATGCTCATACAAAATTAAGAGACGTGGAATAAATATAAATGGTGAAAATACCAAATTAGTTTAAATAATACTTTGTGCAGGATGTACAATTGGCGTTCTACAGTTTGACAGTTGTACAAGGAGAGCCCATCTCGCAAACACAGTTTCAAGCTTGTCAATTACAAAGTATGTGACAGATGTATTTCACACTACAATAACAAGGTTTGACTCAATTTTCGCCCTGGCATGATGCATAAAATATGTGAAAATAAATATTACATAAAAATAATATTACATATAGAAATAAATACTACACCGTAAAACTTGAAAAGGTTTTTTCAAGGGTAATGTTACTTTAAATGCACCAGCCATCACTGAAAAGGAAAAATGGTCTCCAAATCAGAAATAATCAAAACCCCTTTTTAAATAGCTTACAAAGACAGTCCAGTCTAGTCCGGTTTGGTTTGTATTCAAAACAGATGTATACTTCTCTCTGCATCAACATGCATGTGATGACATAAAATTCAAGCCAATTCTGATTAAGCTCTGAGAATTCTTGAAAGTTACACGGAAAATAAAGACCTTATTCGCAGGGAAGAAAGTTTCTATCCTGTTCCCGGAATCTATCTTATTCAATGTATTTTGTAAAATGGGTGGTTCCAGACTATTTCAGGTTTCATGCCTCCTTTCTTTTACATTTAGCTGTAAGTACTCTCAAATATTAAATTATTGACATCGATTTGTAATGACCTTTATTTCACTGCTTTCAATTTATTCTCAGGTTCTCAAGTTAGCCTTGCTTTCAATTAATTACGTGTCAAGTATTGAATAATGCCAATCCCGTGTTCTTAATACTCAGAACGTATGTACAGGACACAAATTGAGTCCAGTTAGCAACATACCTCTAGTCTGGCATTGGTTCCCTTCAAACCCTCTGGGACAGATACAGAGACCATTTTGGCACACACCACCATGCAGACAAGGCGGCCGGCACACTGTGAACAGTAACCAATAAAATAAGTGCAAAGTGGGTGATAACATGCAGCTACCTCTTGCTGGATTTCTTGAAAGGGAAGTGCAAAATACTGCATTGGTACAGTGAGGTTAATACTGGCTTGAAAAATGTAATAGTTTGATACCATCTCTTAGAGATGCTTTTCCCCTTATCAAACACCTTGTGTGCTCGTAATCCATTTGTATTATGCTTGAATTGTGGACTTTTTTACATCATGCAATATACATTTACCGTTGTTATGGCACACATCATTATGGTAGCACCCGAATAGTACACAAGTACTGACTACTTCAAGTGGTGAAGTGAGGTTACCTAGGGAGTTTTCAATTATCCCAGGTGAAGCCATGAAGAACATGAAAGCAATACTAGCTCATGCCTTGTGACCAGCTCTCAGCCAATGGAGATACAGAATCTGTGGGTGAAGTATTATCTGAAGGCAAGAGACAGATACATGGAACCATGCGATGCCACGAGGAGCATTACCGCAAAGATTGAGAAGGGTTGAAAGTACCACTTCTGTGCCTACCTTCTATTTGACAGTACGCCCCTTGGTATTGTGGAGGGCAGTTGCACCTTCCAAAGTTGCAGACACCACCATTTAAACACGGCTGCTCGCAATCTGGGTAGACAGAAGAGAGGACAAACACATTTTGCTCTTTACTTTCCAATCAGATTTACATGATGATTTCGGGTTTTTTTTCCTTTTTTTAAAGTAATACTGGCAATGACAGCGGTATATGCAAATGGAAAAACAGCAAAACAACAAGTGAAAACAATGTGTAACTGAGAGAAAAAGTTAGCAATTTCTAAATGTCACTCCATGGAGCCTTAACCACTTGCTGCTGGGGAACCCTGTTTTGAGCACCATGGGGTTTATACGCAGAGCTGGGGTGCCCAAAAAGGGACAAAAGAGCTGGTCCATGTAACAAAAGACCATACTAGGAACAAAAGACCTGCTGCTGGGAATTGCCATCATTTTTGGGCTTGCATTTTTCAAAGTAATCCGTCACTGGTTTTTAACAGTATACCACTGTTTTGGGCAAAGCACACCCGCGGGTTAGCGACACGGACAAAAGTGCTCCAGGGCCCCATTGATGAGCGACACAGCACTGCTGCATGCTTATCCAGCCGAGTTTGAAAAGACAACACTCGCATTCAGGAAATTACACAACACCTCACAATTCTGGGCTCTCTTTACAGGGCGCCAGGCCTGGCTGAAATATTCAGGAGCGAATGGAGGTTATCTGTCAGCTTAGAGTAGCCACCAAACAGTCATTCGTGTGGGTGTAAACGTCCATTAAATGAAATGATGAATTTCTGAAGAATTCAGAAAACCGGAAATCTTGAAAATCTCCCGTATGTGTTCACTGCATTTTTAAAAGCACCCGGCGGCATGTGGTTAAATGCAGTGCACCAAACAACACAAATGTACCCCAAGCCTGCAGAAATAAAAACAAGTAACTGCAGGATGAGCATGTCCTGACACTGACATTTGACAGGGAAACCATACCTCGCCTTTCACAGAAGAGCCCTGTAAAACCTGGGGGGCATTCACAGGTGCCGTTGACACAGGTGCCCTGATTTTGGCAAGCAATAGGACACTCTGCAATGATGAAATGGAAAATCAGAATCAGAAAATAAATCTGCGTTGCCTTGTCCTAATTTTGAAAATGGATTCTCTTTTATCATGCAAAGTTTACAACAAAGAGATCACTCCGTGCAAGGACAAAGATGCTACTCTCATTATTTTTTCTTTCTTTCATTCTCCTTTTTTGGTTTTGTTGCATATGGGTCATTCCATGAGGTTGGGGCAAAGATTGTGATGGTGTCCATTGTTACATGGGTTCCATAAAAATGAACAGCTATTTCCCTGCATGTGGATTCCAAACTGACCTTGGTTATACATCTTGCAAGTCTGAACATGGAGGTTTATGTTATTTATACAGAGTAAATGACCTGCTCTACAGGTCATGACAGGTGGTAAAAGTTACCCATGTAAAAAGGACACCGTCACAAACTGTGCCCCAATCTCATGGAATGACCCATGTATCTGGGTGTTTCGTTTGTGTCAGTTGAGCTGTGGTCTTTACGGTTGTGTTGCTTGCTTCAGTTCGAAATCTGGATTTTAACCCCTGACCCCCATTCGCTACACCATCGTTTGAAATCACTCTAAAGCAAACCTTTCTCATTGCAATCGTCCCCTCTGTAACCCCGGTTACACCGACACACCCCCCCAATGCAAGCACCGTGGACACACGGAGGTCGACACACTGTCAAAATAAGAACAAGGGAATATCACAAATGAAAATGACTGGTCCAGTTTTTTTGCATCAATGCACACAATAGCTCACACACCTCCAATTAGAAACCTCCAATTACATACATTATTTAATATCTTGATGCATGGAAAATATGTTAAAACGAGCAAGTCACCCTTAATTACATGACTCCTTTAAACTAAATCTATTGAAAAAACAAGGTATCTAGTCTTTAAGTCTATAAATAAATGCTTGGAATTATGAATAGCCTGCTTACTCGGAAATAATCAAATACTTTTATTTCTGCCGATGTTCTTTCATATTTAACGAGTTTTATCTCGGTGTAATTTCTATCAAGTCTACAATCGAACCACTTTAAGAAAGATGGACCATTACAACACGGCATCAAATTCTGGAATAGCCAGAAATGCATACACAAAATCAAGACTGTAAAAAGACACTTCTAGACTCAATACCTAAAATGCTGGTGATGAAATAAAAGTTCAATACAAGTCACGCTAGTTTTATTTAGAATAATTTACAACTTATGATAAATTTATATCTAAGTATCATTAAGCAACTTTCAAAAAAGGAACGTGAGATTTGGAATCCAAAATAATCCAGCACCACCCTTTTAACAGATTACCTTGGATATGATAGGTTAAAGAAGAAGATAAACAATGGTTTCCTTGGGAATATAACCTATTGCCTTCACTGTTTTCATGGTTTTAAATTGTTACCACTGAGAAACCAGCCTACAGACTATGAACATAATACAACAGAAAATGCTGAGTATTTTTTTGTCTTTGTCTTTTTTCGCTGAATGGATTTGCATTCTCAGTCTGAAAAGGACAGAAACTCTTTTTAGTAAGAAGGCAAAACCTGCTACAGGGTTTTCACGCAGTTACACCTCGCATTCTGTGCTGGCTCACATCGTTTCAATAAGAGAATGCTGTGAGGCACAAATGTATGATTCTGAAATTGGTCAAAGTGAAAAGCCATGCAAATTAAGCACAAAAAAGCCCCCTGGTTTCAGACAATTTTAAGTTCAAATTTAAGACAGAAAGAATGACATTATAAACATCAGGTGAAAGAATTATTTCATTCTGCTGGGGATAATTCATGACCTATTCATTCAATGTCTGACGGCGGCCAAAAAAGTTGAACTACTCACATCTGGTTTCGCAGAATTCCCCATCAAAACCATCCTCACAGACGCACACACCAAAAATGTTGCATGTTCCACCATTGAGACATTCTCTCCTGCAAGCTTTAAAAGAAGACGTGCAATTGGGCAGTTTCACTTGCAGTGTTGTAAAAGCAGACGCAGTAGTTAAGACAAAATATTATCCCGCACTGCTGGACCACGGCACAAGAAACAGCTAGTTATGAAGAATTTAGATGCAAAAGCCAACAATTTTTCGAAATGAAGAAGCTCACTCTCCTTCAAACATTAACTTTCTTTCTGAACATTCTAAATGCTAGTTGAATTCAAACTGTAAACAGTCAATAGCCCTTACATTCCTGAATCCTCTGATTTCAATATATTTTACATACACCCTCAGGGGTAAGGGTTAAGATATGATGGATTCATGGAGAATCCACAGTTGTGTATGACCAATGGCCCATCTGACCTTTTAAAGACAATTTTTCTCAAAAGGTGAAAAGGGGATTTAAAGCAGTTTGTTTCCATCTCAACTCTTGTTTGTATTATTCACAAGGTGGTAATTTTACATTGTTTTACATGGTTAATCAGGTCTTTGCTAATGAGTATTTTACCCTAATCTCCCCCCTCAAAGGGGCTTTGCCACCCTCCCCCCCCAAAAAAACCCCTGATAAGTGTAGAAAATGCCCAAGTTTGTAGCTTTAGCCATGGACATCGTGAGGGAATAGATACAGATAAGACACTCCCTCCGGGAAACAGGGTAAAAATACAAAGAAGGAGGAAAATTTAAAGAAATTTACACATAAAAAAACCCTGACACCTCAGCATCGATCCCTTCCAATGTGGATTGTTTGTCATTTTGCTGTTGATGGGTGCATTACCCACCTTCCCAAGCACCTTGCCCCTTCGTGGGGCCACCAATGGGCCCTGCCAAGTTATACTCGCACACCCTGACTCATGGTGAGAGTAACAATGGTGACTAACCTCTGTACTGGCAGTAGTCTCCGGTGTGGGTGTCTGGACAGACACACCGGCCCTCCACACACATGCCAAGATTCAAGCAATCCGGCCGACAAACTACGCGTTATAGACAAGGAGGAACATGGCAAGATGTCGAATTGGCAAACTTCATTGTAAAAATCACTTTAGACTTATTTCTTACCATGGCAAATAAATGAACACAGAAAGAGCAGCTTATTCCTGGCAGATGGTCTTTAGGATAGAACATGCTACTTTTGTATTCAAGTAAATCACAAGTGCCTCCACAACTCCAGTCACAAGTCCTTTAACAAGACCAGTCTTAGGCATGAGGGTGAACAGTGACAAAAGAATGCTTTTTACAGTTTATTTGAATAGCTTGAGAATTGGTTTCAGACTGAATGACTTGTGATGGATTTGTGATGGAGTTACAGGGACTTGCAAGGACTCATGATAGACTCGAATACAACACTGGAACATGCGGATTTGGAACACTTTTTAAGGTACAAGGAGTTCCTGGCACGAGGCTATTAGCATAAATGTAAATTACTGATAAAAATCAAGGTTTTTATCCCTAAAAAATGCAAAATTTTAATTTTAATTGCTGACATCCTCCTTGGCACAAAACAATATAAGTAATAACAAATTTCCAATTCTATTCATCAGTGTCTATTTGGCATTAATTTTGTCAAGAGCTTTTATGTCATTGCTTACAATTTTGTTCTCATGCTGCAAAAAAGAGACTGAACCCAGCTGTCAACCAATTCCATATGATCGACTTGTCAAAAAGGCTCATCCAACTTGAGCAGAAGCACCCCCTCACTGGTTGAAAAGAGCCATGTTGATGGAGAGTGTTGATTTTGTTGGTAGTGATGGGACCATAACATGTACATTTCATAATCGCTTGTGAATCAGCGAAGTGCAGGCCCCCCCAAAGGAGCCAACGCTGGTGGGGAAAGTGTCCCCTCTCTTGGCCCCAGCATTCACACACTATTGCATCAACTACTGCTAAAGATTCACATGATAATGGCACTTACTTTTGGTCTCACAGAACTCTCCGACGTACCCCTCTGCACACTGGCACACACCCCGCGTGCAGGTGCCCCCGTTGGCGCAAGACTGCTCACACCGTAACGGGATGCTGCAGTCCACCCCAGTGTAGCCAATGGAGCACTGGCATTGGCCCGCCTGGCAGATGCCGAACTGACATGCAGGGATGCATGGGATGTCTGGAGGACGAGGGACACAGCCACATACAAATAGATCAACCTCACCCCCATCCAAGATATTACTTCCAAATACCAAACAGTGACAATTCACTCATTCGGTGGAAAATTCACAACTGAAACTGACAACATGATGAATTCCGCGGAGCTTTTATCACTCCAACAGAATGAGACTTCACAAAAGTTCCCCCAAGAAGCGGTTCTTTTTCAAACCATTTCAACCTAAATTAAGAGTGATATTCACTCTAAACCGTCATTTGTGTGCAGTGTGCACACACACTCAGGTGTCAACACCTGAAACCAAAATTGTTTAGCGCCAGGCTTTCATAAAGTGGTTACACATAATTCTTGTATTTCACCAGCTTTTGACAATGACAAAAACCACCGGGTGTGTTTTTATGACCATTAACCAGCAACATGTTTGTGACGTCAAAGGATAACAAGATATGGTTATGTCTTTTGACAGAGGATGCAGACAACCTTGTCAACAAACATCCTTTTCTCTCCCAATATTCGCATGTTCCTTACTACCTGACTTTTTATATTTTTGAAGGAAATACTCCTGATTTGCTGCAAGTAACATTGTTTTTCTAAAAAATTCTCAAAGATATGTAATTGGCTTATTTGAGAAACAACAATTATTTGTTCTTTTATTATGCTGCCATTATGCTATTATGCTGCTATTTTGAAGCAGTACTGAACAATTCCAAGCTTTGGTTCTCATTTTGTTCTGAACAATGACTTTATTGGCATATCCACAGTCACGAAAACACCTCACTGATGACCATAGCAGAAACACATACCTAAAAATATGGAAGGGCTGCGTAGCATCGTGATCAGAATATCGACAAGAATATAATATCAAATCAGTGTTCTGAAATATGTGATTGTCAACCTTTCGGTAACTGAGTACCTTCTTCAGGGAATCTGCCTGCCCTGAAGAAGGTACTCAGTTACCGAAAGCTTAGCAATCACATATTTCAGAGCACTGATTTGATATTATATTCTTGTCGATATTTAGAAACATACACCTAGACGGGTTTGTAAAAACATACCCCTGTCACCAGCAGTGGAACAATTTTTGAAGCGCATAAAGTGGGGCGGCCATACCCCAATCCCCCCTTATGAAAAAGTTGGAGGGGAGCCACTGCCCCCTCCTCCACTGCCAGTGGCCCCTATATGTGCTATTCCTCATGGGCACTTTGCATGTGTTGATGCGTTACCTAGACAGCTCCTGCCGTCAGGAGCCAGACGCTGACCCTCGGGACAGATGCATCTGTAGCTGCCTGGCATGTTCTCGCACTGGTACTCG